GAAAAATAAATAAAATAAATAAAAAAGTAAAAGAAACAGCAAACCATGATTGCACGCGGCGCATTAGTGCCAACGGATTGTGATAGTCCTCTCGATACCCATGAACCGTATTAGCGGGGTCTATGACCAAACACGGGTGTGAGTGTGAGCGCGAGTGGGTTGTGTGTGGTGTGTGGGAGAGTGTTGGTCATAGCCTCTGCTGCTACTCGATGAGGGATGGGGGACAATGAGAAAGGGAGGCGCAACTACTGGCAAAATGCTTGGTCTTTGAGTAGGCAGACCCCCACCGGCGGCCCCACCTCATCTCTGACTACTACTGTTGGGTCGTGGGGCAACACGAATACCTCGTTTGCGAGGCCCTGTGCTTGCAAGGGTCCCCTCTATATAATCTTAGGAGTAGTGTTAGGAAGGTAGTAAAAGGCAAAAAAAAATTGAAAAAAAAATATAGTGTAAAAAAAAAAAAAAAAAAAAAAACGAGTTCCATACGAAAATATAATAAAGGTCCAGATCCACTTGTACAACCTGTCCAAAAAGATATAAACAAATAAAAAAATAAAAATTATTTTTTTGTTTTTATTTTTATTTTAGATTCGGCAAAGAATGTTGATGTGACCCTGAGACAAAAGTTGTTAAGTTTATTTTTCTGCATAAAATATTTTATTTAAGGATTTTTTTTTTTTTTTGGTAGGAACCTTCCCTGGTTCTTGCACGGCCGGGCCGCTCGGGAAAATAGGATGACCCGGGCGGCCCAACTGGTAGCCCAGGTGAATGCACGAAAGGGAAACAGTCGGGTCTGCCAAACAGTTGGCCACAGGCATTCCTGACAATGACCACTTGCCCCACCAGTGCTATGCGCCCACATTGCTATATGGCGCTGACGAGGGCACCAGATCAAACCGGTCCCGTTTTTCCCCATATGTCACCTGTCTCCACACCTTCATCACGTAGTGCAATCCAATAGATGGCCCAGTGGTCCACGGTTCGATTCTCTGGTAGTGCTCACCTTACCCACACCCACTCGCTATCACCTGCATCTCTCTCTCTCTCTCTCTCTCTCTCTCTCTCTCTCTCTTTGTGTGTGTGTGTGTGTGTGTGTGTGTGTGTGTGACAGAAAGTGTGATTACATGAATAGTGCGAGGTAAACTTTGGTTCATTCCATACCACATTTTTCAAAGAATTTTATCATCTGAAACATCCCAATAATTTCCTGCAGCATTTAATCTTGCAATAAGTGGACCCATCGCATCCATGCTGCAGCGAAGGACGATGACAAAAACATTTTGCGAAACACCCCAGCCATCAGTTGGACCCCATCTTTGTAATGTACCCCTACCGGACGTTGTCCAACTTTACAAAATGCCCCAGCAGTTGCCAACTTTTCGTAGGTGCAATTGCAAAAGGCCAAGAGAATTCGCACACCGACCTGACAGGGGCATAACACAAACATATCAGTCCCAAAGGCCATTCCACTTTGCCCGTATCTCTTAGGGACATTTTGACATATATCTCAGCTTATGGGGGTATTTGGAAAATTACCCCCCCCCCCTAAAAAAAAAGGAGACACTATTTCCCTCCCCCCCGCAAGAAGGATACGTTCTCTCTCTCTCTCTCTCTCTCTCTCTCTCTCTCTCTCTCTCTCTCTCTCTCTCTCACACACACACACACACACACACACACACACACACA